CGTCCAATCTACTTGTACTGCCGAAGTTCGAAATGGCACCAAGGAAACCCGCAAAGGACCAGCCGACGACCAGCAACGTTCCAGCCGCCCAGAAGGATACCAAGAAACGCAAAGGTTTCGACGCGTACTACATCAAGGACGTCAAGCAGAAACGAAAGGAGGTGGCGCACGCAATGAAGCAAATGGGTCGCAAGGATAAGCCGCCGGAGTCGGCTTCCCGTAGAAGGGGCGTGTAAATATGTATAGTATGTAACCATATTGTAAAGTTGTAAACATACCTCTATTGTTATGTAGCATTACTCGTTTTCTTTGTACTATCTGATGCATATCTGCCCATTACCTCTGTTTCCCACAATTCAAATTTTCGCAACTACCAAAACAGATTTCCCGCGCGCGAAGCTACCGGCTAAAGCCCTCTCTTGATCTGTGTCTATGTGGATTTCGTAATCTCTTGTATTCTGTCTGTGTCTGTAAGCTCCACTTTCCCAGGGCCACAGATATAAATACCGGTCAGATCTCTTAGAATGGCTTTTGGATCTGTCGTATTTCGTCAGAGGATTCTGCTAATCGATCGCCTTATTCTGTACTGCTACTTACCGAAGAATAAAGTGTAAGTCACTATTCTCTACCGAGCTAAAAGGAAGGGACCTTGTCCCTAGACATCTAAAAAGGGGATCCGAGACGGAGACCCAAAACGGGGCGAACGCACCGTAAAACCTTTACATGGGGGCCGAAGCTAACTAGCTCGGTCGAACGGTAAGTTTCAGTGCAGTGGAAGCCAGGGAAACCCTGAGTTTCCGAAAAGTACAATTCGAGCCGTAGGGCCGTGCAGAGCGGCGGGCTTGAAGTAACTGCTAGACGGGCAGTCCCCACACGTTGGCTCTTGCTCGGAGCAATCCAGAAGCTGAGTCAGCCGGTGGGACAGAGGGATACCCTTTTTGCAAGGTGAACCCCTGCGCAAATTTTTTTGTGTGCTGATCGCTTCAGGGCTTGCGGCATAAAATCCGCACAGCAGCGACTCCTACGCAAAAAAAAACCCGGTGCACATCACTGAATCTGCAGAAATCGGATTGATTTCAGGAACAAAAATGTCAGACGACATGGAACGCGAGCTCGATCGTATTCTGGATGAAGAGGTCGCTCGAGACAGCAGGATGGAAGAGCTGCACCAAGAGTTGTCTCAGCTCAGGGCACAAGTGATGCAGTTAACGCAGCAGAATCTGCAACAGGTATTATATACGGTTTCTCAGTGTACCCTAAGCGTTGCAAATCTGCGAGACGTGCCCAAACAGATAGCATCCTTGTTCAGGGAAGGCAAAATTGTCTCACCTGAAGACGCTGAAAACGAGCTCACAAAGCTCCTTACATCAGAGGGCGACGCAATACTCCTGGCGCTAGATCCCTTGAGCGAAACAGCTGCGAGGGTCAAGGAAATGACGTCCGAAACACATGCAAAACACAGTGAGGAGCTATCCCCTATTTTTGATCAGGCAGAACATGACGATCATTGCATGCGCACGCTTTCGAAATTGTTACGCGTCCAGTCCACAGAGGTGATTGGGGCAGTGAAAACTCTAGTCAAGAGACACCAAGTGGTGGCTAGAACACAAATACCATGTTTTGGTAAAAAGATACTGCCAGCTAGAACACCACTAACCTTCAACAATTTCGACAATAGAGAGACGTGCATATTGCAGGGCACTTCGACTACGGCGCAAAGTGAAGCGCAGTCGACTCCAATGGAGACAGAACATGGCGAAAATGAACACGACAGATTTCGCGAGGCTTTCCGCCTACTCAATGCTAAAGACCATACGACAGAAGCTGGACTACCGCCAATCGAATTCGATGCAGTGAATGCGGCCAAAGGTAGGCTTTTGTCACAGCAAGACGATTCGCCTGAGTTCGCTCGCCTCAAACGTACTCTGACTGAGAACCAATTTCAGAGGAACAGCGACGTGAACGAGCCACGACACACCATGGTGCTACCCTCTCCAACCAGGGGCAACCCCCCAAGAGGTTTGTCTCCAGAATCTCGTGAAACAAGTTCCATCTTTCACATATGGGATTGGGACGACATTAGCTGCCATGGCACTTCCGGAGGTCAAGAACTTTAGTGACCCAGACGGGAAAGGTTTTACCGAGTTTGTGATGTCCTTTTCAATGAAGTACGGTAGAATAGGTCTTCCGGACGATATCCTCATTCATTTAATGAGCGAAAAATTGGAAGGGCACCCAAAAGCGGTCATGAAAACGCTCCCGGAAGAGACTAGGAAAGGCAAATTTGCGGACTTTGTTGTCGCACTAAATACGAAGTTCGCTGAAAATACTTCGGCTAGGCGAATGGAATCGCATGTGAAACTGAAACAGTTGAAGATGGCCAGATCAGTCACGGAGTACTGTGTACAACTCGAAAGCCTAACGCGCGCAGCGAATCCCCAGGCTTCCGAAACCGATCTGTCCATGGTGAGAGCTAGTGAATTGATCTCGCAGCTCACTAATTGGCCAGAGTACTTCCAACTATTCGCCGTGATGGAGGCTGCAGCACCGCACGAGGTGTACGAAAAGCTCAAGAATCTGGCACAGGGCATCGAAAGAAGCAAAAGAGTAGCTGCGGCGATGAAATCAGCTACCGAATCAAAACAGTTCGAGGAACGAAGGAGGCCGTCGCGAGCCACGGTGTTTTCGAGAATCAAGGACAAAACTATCCAAGATGGAAATGTCCAAGATCGACATCACCACAAGGAGCAAGGTCAACAAAGTTTAGAAATAACGCAGAAAGGTGCACAGTCGCCAGCGGACACTAGACTTTGCAGAAGATGTAAGAGACCTGGACATTTTCAGAGGGACTGCGACAAGAACCTCCAACGCACGACACCGCAAACTGCGGAAAGTGCGCAGTCGTCAAATGCTTCTCGTATGGAACAGTCGAAGCGTACCTTCACGACAGTACTACAAAACTGGTCTTGTCAGGCTATAGGGACACGACAACGAGAAGACGAGATGTTCGGCAAGAAAACCATGTGCAGAGTAGAACTGCTGGGTTTTACTAAAGAGGCACTCGTCGACACAGGATCTCAAGTAAGTATTTTACCACTGAGAATACTACTTGATGCATCAAAGGCAGGTTTTGACCTGGATAAGGACGTCGAAGAGGTCAAAATGGACGATCATATAAACATCTATGATGCCTCGGGTCACAAAATGGAATTCAAAGGCGCAGTGAAACTTACTCTA